TTTGAATCTAGACAGTGTAGAATCCAGCCATGATGGGGACCCAGTCTGTTTTCATAGTGGAGTCCAGCACTGGCTAGGAGAGGGGGTCATGAGTGAATTGTGGTAGCGCTGTGGCCATCACCCATGAGTAAGTTCACATTTGCAGGGACTGTAGTCCACTACACTTGCTGGAATCAGAAAGCATACTGTTCCCAGTGAAGAACATGAAGATCCTATAGAACCAAAGACAGCAGATAGAACCCAAGGTCTGGAATTCAACTTGGGGTCCCAGCAGTGTAGCAATGATGCTAATTAGTGCACCACCATGCCACCTACCTTTAAACAAACACATGTAAATATAAATGCAGGACACTTTTTCTGATCACTATATATTGGGCATGTTTTTTTACAGAACTGTAAAGACCCTCTTGTTTCCTGATGGATTGTTCATGTTACCTTAGTGTAATATGCATTCACATTGGCGTAAGTACAGTACGTCCTTGGTACGCGCAGAGCTGAGGAGGTCACGCTTAAATTTAGTTCCTCGCTGGGGCCACTGTATTTTTTTCCTTTGCGCTGGGTGTTCCACTGGGCTATTGCGCGACGACATGACATTTCTTGAGCTGTGATGTCACAAGGCGGTAGAATGTCCGGTGACAGAATGTTCAGAGCAGGAGTGAAAGTGGACGGTCGCTTCGCGTTTGGACATACAGTACAGGCGACATGCTGGCTCAGACATGGACACTCAACAAGAGACGGTCAGAAAGAAAAAGAAAACGCCGCACACGAGTGAGTTAAATAAAATTAGGTTCATTATAATAAATTAATCGGTGAGGAACAAGCTAACTGTATTCTATATTCATATTAAAAATAAATGCAGTGAGACTCGCGGTTATCAATGCACATTCATGGAATGTTAGTCACGACCCCACTCTGCAGAGGACAGATGTATTTACTACTGTAACCCCTCACTGTTGAGGCAGGCTATAGTTTGTGGCAAGAATCTCTCACTGAAAACAAGTGACTGAGATCATTCAATTGCAATTTGACCTCGAAGCCAGTGATACATTGGATGAGAGAGGTCATGTTTTAATTGCCGCAATTTCCGCAGTTTTGCATACTGCATACTTGCTCCGACACCATTCCTCTAGGGACAGTACTGCGATCTACCCGCAGAAATCTGTTCGGAATCTGCACAGCCGGGCGCAGCTTTGGACACGTACTGTGGCAATGAGGATAAGAAAAAGCAGGTGATGAATAAGCTGGTTGAACGTTTTGCGCATCACCAACACAGTACAAACCAAACACAACCACCGTCAGGGTAGTTTAACCTCACACGGAAGTGCCAAAAAGTGCAACATACAGTACATTTTAAGGACCTCCCAAATACAGTACGTGCAATTAATTTAAAAGCGTACATAAATATAGGACTACGTGTGTTTGAAACGTCAAGGGACTATAAATAAAACGGGTTATTGATTAAACTGTATACTGTAAGTCAATAGAATGATTCTAGTCAGATTTAATTTGACTGGAAATCTTACATCCAGTGGTATTTCTGTGCTTACGTTACCTTGGCTGATATGAAACTTGACATATATGAACATTGATACTTCAGAATTCATACTTTTAACGGCAGGCTGATCTATGTTTTTAACCGGCCTTTTAAAGAGGCGTGATCGCATATTGTGTCTCTGCCAGACCGAAAATGCAATGAGTATTCAGCTTAATTTACTTGGGCACTTATTTAGTATGTCGGATTTTTGGAGCTTTATGATAATCCACTTCAGTTTGTTTACATTCCCTCCAGTGGTTAAAATATTTTTTAAAAAGTGGTGGCAGACCCTTCCCGCGGCCGCACTGCTGGGGGCTCCTGTGCAGTAATATTCCCTCTGTGCCTGACACGCCCCCTGTTCTCCCCCAGCTGTGCAGAAAGTGTGTGAGCGAGTTCTCCCAGCCTTCGCTACCCCAGTCCTCTTCAGCGGCCCCCAAGAGTTTCGCGTCGCCAAGCTTTTCCTGGGATCGTGCTTCGGCGCCATCTGCGGTGCAGGTGAGAGAGATCCCGGCACAGTCACATGCTGTCATGCCCGAAGTATACACACGGTACCCGCCTCCAGCTGCCACGCCTTGAACTAGGTGAGCAGAGGAAGTGCTCTCTCCTTGGAGCTCTCTGATTGGCTGGCCAACGAGAGAAAGCAGTGGCACACGCCTCCCCTGGTAGCTCAGTCCTCCAGCCAATCAAAGAGCTGGAGTTCACCTGTACTCGACAGAGTGCCAGGCTGCTGGTGGATCAGGAGTTTCACCCGACTTCATGGTGATTGCACAGTACCAGTCTGTTTAATTGATTCTTTGTTCAAGCTAATCATTTGTGTGTTTTGCACTGTTAAGGCCTTTCCAGCAATGTTGGCCAGGTCAGGTCAGTCAAATCAATCAAAACAATGAGGAAATCACAGCAGAGTAATATAGTACTGAAGATTCATACCTTTTAATGAGGAACAGAGTTGTTTTGATACTTTATGTTTCCCAGACTTGAGATATAGTTAGAAACGCAAACACTGCTCCTGTGTAGTCCTCAGATAACAAGAGGTTTTTTAGATTATGGTTTCTGTGACAGAAAAACAGCATCCTCTGTCTCTCTCAGACCTTTCTGTTCCACATCCATTACTGGGATCACTCAGAGTGACAGGCAGAGATTCACTCTGTCTGCTTCTTAGGATAGCATTATTGCTTCTCTGTCTCTCTTAGGATTTTATTAATGTCTCTGCATGTTTCAGTGTTGTACTTTGGTCTCCTTCACAAAATCTCCATACATGAAGAGCACAGAATCCCTGTTTTCTGCACTTTGATTGGTGAGTTGACCTGTTTTTTTATTGAAATGAAAAAATGCATGTAGAGCAGTGTTTTGTGCCTTTTTTCTGTTTCCTTTCTGTCACCTGTGCTCTATTTCCCTCTCTGTCTACTGTGAGATATCGTGCTCTTCTGTCACTGAATCTGTGTCCCATGAGTTACAATTATGCCTGTGCTGTCTGCTGTGTTTTTATCAATGATCTGCTGTAGATGTGTGCAGTCTACCCTGTAATCTGTATTCTGTCTGTAGGTCTGTGTGCTCTGTGCTGTAATCTGTGTTCTGTCTGTAGGTCTGTGTGCTCTGTGCTGTAATCTG